AAAAAGAAAGGGAAAGCTAAAAGGAGCCGCGGTCTACTACTTTATATACGCTAGCACCAAAGCAAGGAACTAAGGCAAGGTGCCAAGGTAAAGGCTAAGCTTCGTCGGATGGAGAGAGTGGCTCATCCATCTTTTCGTCTTTTAGACAAGTCTAGTAGGGAGGGAATCTTTCCTTACTTCTTCTCCTAGTGAGTTTAGCGCGTAATACTTAAACAACCTAAAACGCAATCTTTCTCTCAAAGAAAACAAATATATATTCTTAGTGAGAGTTTAAGGGGAACATTTGAGAGAAGAGAGCATGGGTTGGAATCACACTGCCTATATTCTTTTAAAATGGGTTTTTAAAAACTTTGGTCTCTTTTTATTTATTTATTTATTTTATTAATATTTAACAGTTCCACCAATGATCTTTACACACAATTTACTCTTAATTTAGAAAAAGAAAAAAAAAAACCATTTTAGCGTATTAGAATATATCATAATCCAATAAAAATACAATTCTAATGCTATAATATCATAATTCTATAATGAGTAATATTTCTAAGGGGTGTTTGTCTGAGCTTATAAAAATTAATTTATAAGCATTTGAAATTTTAAGAAATTACGTGTTTGGTTAAAGTACTTATAAGTGACTGATAAGTAGTTGACGTGTTTGGTAAAATGTGGCTTATAAATACATTTTATTATAAAATGACTAAAAAGTGTACTATATTAAACAAGAGTACACTATAAAATTTTAAAATTAAACAAGGATAATGTGGTAATATACTTGATCAAATTAACTTATAAGTAGAGTGCTTATAAGAAAGAAAGAAAAAAAGGCACTTCCCCCCCAACTTATTTTTTTTGGCTTATAAGCTCAACTTATAAACTTAAAAAAGTTATAAACAAACAGGTCAGCTTATAAGCTAGTTTGACAAGCTTATAAGCTAGTTTGACCAGCTTATAAGCTTAGACAAAACTTCCCCTTAGTATCAGAAAAAAGACCCTATAATCAATATTTGCTTAATGAATAACATGATCTTTAGACCATACAGGGGGTTGTCTCATCCTCTTTGGAACACTTACATTCTTTTAGATTGTCACGTACTAAAATATACACAGTATATGATCATAGAAAATTAGAAAATTAGGGTAAATTATGCAATTCAAGCTACCCTTGAGGTGGGTATTTGATGTGGTTTAGTTAATACTCTACTTAATTTAATGTGTCATTTCTAATCTATTGCAGCAAGAACTTCGATTGAGTAATTGATTCAAACTTCTAATTTTATGGGGAGAATGAAAATATATATGCATGTAAATGATGAATATTTATTAGGTTGAAATTATATAAAAAAATCAATTACAATATTTATAGTTATGACAAATAATAATATATATTTTATATATTAAAGATAGACTTTTTTTTTTTTTTTTTAAAGCATAAGTAATTTATTAATTAAATAGATATAAAAACCTGAAAAAGCTAATTGAAAAGTTTGGATCGTTAAATCAATTAAATACAATAAGCAATAAAACTAAGTGAAAATATATATAATATATATATATATATATATATATATAATATACAATTTGAAAAGAGAGTATACAATCGTAACAAATAAAATTATATTTTGTTTGTATATATGCATTGAATTTTGTTCTTTGCCCAACACTAAGTAATTAATATTAAAAAAATGAATAACAACTCATCTAGTTTTATAATTAATATTTACTTATTCAAATAATTATATCATGAGTTTGGTTAGTGAGATGATTGAACAATTTATATTTTAATCAAGAGAATTATATTTTCTTTTATTTTGAGGAGGCCATGTAAAAATTTATAAAAATTATGAAGGGCCAAATAATATAATTTGTGTTGAATATGGTGTATACTTCTCTTAGCCTTGACAGATTGTGTACCTACGGCGACTCATTCAAGGGTCTCGCTCCCCGATGAGTGTGGTGGTCCCACTCGCCAGTGAGCGGGCAGGGGTGAGAGGGTAGCTCCTCCTTCACAATAAGCCCAATGTCTAATTGGGTTTATACCTGGGTCGGGTTAGATTCGGGTAAGTCCAATGTCTAATTATTCTTATAAATGAAATTGTTGGAGTGGGAAAAATCTTGGAGGCAATTTATAAGGAGGCGGCAATTTTATTTTTTAATTCCCTCCTAAAGATGTAAAAATTAAAACTCTAAACTATTTTCAAGTATCTTTCCTATTTTAAATATCTTTCATACTTTAAGTCAATTATATATTTACAATTAAAATTCTAAACTATTTTTAGGTATCTTTCCTATTTAAAATATCTTTCCTACTTCAACCTAGTTACTATTAAAATTTATAGAAAATATTTATAGAAATGCTATGTTAAATAAAGCAATTATGTTTATTACTAAATACTTACTATTAAAATTTATTATATTATTATCAAAATCTTTAAGCTATTGGTAAGTAATATATTGATTTGACAATTCTTAATATATTCTTGTTAATTTCATAATGAAGTGATTCTTTTCCTTTATGAAAAAAATAAATATTTTGTCAAACCAAATCTCCATCGGAAAAGTATTAGACACGTGTATTTGCTTTATACCCTTCCAGCCAAATCTCCAAAAACGGTATAAACTGTGTTTGCTGTATTGGATTACCTTGAACCGCCGAATTCACGTTGTGCTCTAAGAACTGAGGTTGACTTTGCACTTTGTAGGCTGTAAACTGTTTATTATTATTATTATTATTATTTTGGTTAGTTTGATAGTAATGTTTGAAGTCAAGTTGATCGGGAAGGGAAGAAGAAATCTGTCATTTTTATTTTTTTCTTCAATTGAAGGCAGATTGATGTTTGTGGTGACTGGTCTATTTGTGTTTTAGCTACGAAACTTAGTTTGGGCTACATCAAAGCACGATGCCTACCTTATGTCACATTTTTCAGTCGTTCATTGGTCTTGGAGAGCGGGGAAAATTCCATTAGGGTATTTCAACACCATGTTTAACTTGGAGAGCGATTCATGGGTGACTGATGCAACCCACACAAAGTATTGGAGACTTGATGGATATTTTATCACACTCTTAAATTTTCATATTGATCGCTATACTCTTGTTCTCTCTGAAGAAATTCGTAATGTAATTCCTTCTCTTCTTGGGATCTCTGTGCCCTATCAAGGTAATGTAAGTTCATAATTTGCACAATATTTTTTTTTATTATCAGAAAGTATATTTTAGTTTTGATATTTTTAATAAAATACTATCCATAGAGTTAGTTTTTTTTTTTTTAAATTAAATAAAAAATATACATATATAGGTCTACAATAAAGAAGATTATATATTTTTTTGTATATTTGATAAGAAAAAAGTTTTCGTATACGCAACATTTATAACACTTTACAAAATAAAAACACCAAGGAGAGTGATGTTTTTTAGTTTTCTTCTTTATTTACCTTTTGATATAATGAATGTATTAAAGAAAATTATGTTTTAATTAAAAGCCTTTCTAGTAATTAATGTAATATTAGGTTATTGTTATTTTTTTTTCATTCTCTCTCTCTCTCTCTCTCTCTCTCTCTCTCTCTCTCTCTCTCTCTCTCTCTCTCTCTATATATATATATTTTTTCTTATGACATTTTTTTTTTTGCAGAATGAAAAAATGATCAAGAAGAGACCTTCAACACATGGATGCTTTCATATTTTTATCAATAAAATAGCCGTAGTAGACTATCTTTAGCTTTTACGTGTTAAACGTACATTAAGAGTATTAAAATTATAATGTTGTTGACTTTATATATTTTAATAAATTTTTCTTTGATATAATTTCATCTTAAGTTAAAAGTGATATATGGATTCATAATTTTGATAATGATAATAGCTGTATGTTCCATTGTGGGAAAAAAAAAAAAGATAATTATTTATAATTTTATTTATTAAATGTAAAATATATATATATATATATATAATTGTCAGATCAAATTGATATAAAATAACTTTTGTTACTCTTTTAAATTGTTGACAAGATATTTTTGTCACTTTTAATATTAACAAAAAAAAATTATATAAGGTCTCAAAATTTAATGACTTCAATTTTTGTCACTACACTTTTCATGTTTTTGACAAAAATATTTTTGTCGCTATTAACAAAATTTGATAAATATAATTTATCACGATTTTAATTTCTCCATAATTTCTTTTTTTCACTTGAATATCTTTTTACGAAAAAGATTCGTCACATTTTAGAAGCACAGACATGAATATTTTTATCATTATTGAGATGTTAAAAAATATTTGTCACGCTTATATTATTTTGACAATAAAAAATCTGTCATGTAAAAATATTTGTACCAAAAATTATTTGTCATGCTATTAAATTTTTTACAAAATTATTTTTGTCACTATACAATTTTTTATAAATAATATTGTCATATAAACAAACATGTGACGAAATAAATGTTGTCACAATAAAGTCAATGACAAATAAATTTATGTCACTATTAAAATTATGACCAAATAATTTAGTCACCATTCACAATTTTGACAAATCAATTTTGTCATAATATATGATTTTTTTTCACTATAAAGCTTATCATTTGGTCTTTAAATGTAAATCAATTGTGACAAAATATTACTTTTAGTGATAAAAATTGCTTTCTATTATTACAAATAATTTATCACAATAAATTAGTTTAAAGTGACAAATTATTATTGTCACAATAAATGATTAGGCTATGGTGACCAAACGTTCTTTCGTCACCATACACTTAAGAGTACGAGCTTAATGTGACCAACCTGGTGACCAATATAATTCTTCACATTTAAGAAATGGTCACAATTTTGATATTTATAGTGACAAATTATTTTGTTGTGAGAAGCCTAAATTCTTGTAGTGCGTATTAGTGTGGCTAGAGATTATTTTAATATTTATGTTGAGGAGAGAAATAAGTTGAAGGCCTTTTTTAGTAAGTTTCGTAAGAGAGTAAGTCTTACCACGGATACATGGACATCTTGCCAAAACCTTAACTATATGTGTTTGACGGCTCACTTCACTGATGATGATTGGAAATTACACAAAAAGATCTTAAATTTTTGTCCAATTGCTAGTCACAAAGGTTTATTGATTGGTAAGGCAATTGAGAGGTGTTTACTTGATTGGGGTATTTCTAAGGTTTTCACCATTACCGTTGACAATGCAAGTTCTAATGATATTGGAATAAAATATCTCCAGAACCGGTTAGAAAGTTGGAAGGGTAGTGTTTTGAGTGGTGATTTTCTGCACATGAGGTGTTGTGCACATATATTGAGTCTCACTGTAAAAGAGGGGTTAAAAGACATGGAGGACTCCATTTTTAGAATTCGCTCTACAGTGAGATATGTGAGGTCTTCTCTGGTGAGATTACAAAGGTTTAAGGAGTGTGTAGAGCAAGAAAAGATTGAACAAAAAAAATCTTTTGGTTCTTGATGTAGAAATAAGGTGGAACTCTACGTACTTAATGTTGGATGTGGCTTTAAAATTTTAGAAAGCATTTGAGTTGTTGGAAATCCAAGACGTTAAGTATAAAGATGAACTTACTAGAGGGGAAAAGTCAAGGGGTTTGCCTATGCCTAGTGATTGGGAGTATGCCCGTTACTTGTTACCTTTCTTGAAAGTTTTTTATGATGCTACTCTACAGGTGTCAAGCTCACTTTTAGTTACCGATAATGCATACATGCGCGAGATCTTTGCCATTGGAATGCAGATTTCAACATGGTCTAGAAGTAATGATGTTGGCTTAAGTACTTTGGCTAGGAGAATGAAGGGAAAACATGATAAATATTGGTCAAATATTGATAATATCAACTTAATGTTATTCATTGCAGTGGTATTAGATCATAGATTCAAGTTAGGATATGTGAATTGGGTTATTAGTAAATCTTATGATGATACTAATGCTGAACTTTTGAAGATAAAAGTGCATACAACTTTGTATTCTTTATTTGACCAATACAAGCTCATTTATAGTTCTCCAAGTGGGCAATCTAGTCAACAGTCTCAACAAGCAAGTCAAGTTAATGTGGAAGATGTAAATGTTGATCCCAAAGAATTGATGTATTGTATGTATGATGAGGCAATGGCTGGACAGGAGGTTACGGTAACCAAATCTGAGATGGATAAATATTTAGAGGATGAATATGAGTAGCGTCACAAGGACGACATGCTTGATATCTTGAGTTGGTGGAAAGTCAATTCAAATAGATATCCAGTTATCTCTTCGATGGCACGAGAGGTGTTGGCTATGCTGGTTTCTACTGTGGCATCTGAGTCAGCGTTTAGCATTGGGGGTCGTGTATTAGATCCATTTCATAGCTCCCTCACTCCTAAGACGGTGGAGGCTCTTATTTGCACATAAGATTGGATTCGGGCTACATGTGAACCATTCATGATTGAGGAGAGCTTGGAAGAGATAGCAGAGCTTGAGTCAGGTAAAGTTTTTGCATCAGTTTCAATTATTAGTTATTATGTTGTCTTTATTGGATTTATTGACTGAATTTTAAATTTAACCATTATTTATATGACCTATTTTTTATAGAATTTATGTCTTCGGCAATGGGAAATACTACTCGTATTCATCTTGATGATTGAAGGTTTTGCAGCATTTAATTGAGGTTTGATTTCTTTAATAGTTTTTTATTGTAGGCAATGAAAAAAAATATGATTTAATTTTTATAAACTTCTAACATTTAATTTTTATTTGGGCAAATATTGGGAGATCTACTCGTATTGATTTAATGTTGGTTTCCGCTTTCTATTTATGGAGTTGTATTTGCACAATTTCTTTTGTTGTTTTCTATTGGGACTTATTTATTTATTTTGTTGTTTTATTATGGACTTTTATTTGTATTTCATTTCGGACTTTTATTTGTATCAATTTTTAATTTATTGTTAGTAGTGGTCAATGGATATGTATAATTGTTTAATTTTTATTTAGATATGTATTGTCTATATTTAGTTATTTACAATTTAATTTAGGATAAAATTAAAAAAAAAAGTTTTATAAAAAAAGGGAAAACCGGTTCACAAACGGTTAACTGAAAAACCGGTTCGGTTTGAAATTTTTCTGAACTGAAAATTTGGTACCGGTTAACCGCTTTTGAACACCCCTACCTATAAGTCGAGTAATTATTATATTTAATAATAATGACAAATTACAAATAATTTAAAGATAAAGATAGAAAAAAATTTAAATGACGGTATTGATGATCCATGATATTCACAAATAATTTCTTATTATAATTATTGTTGTTGTTGTTTTTGCTTTTATTATTATTATTATTATGTGGGCCATAAATTGTATTGCTTGTTGGGCTCAATAACGAAATAAACATATTACGGTTTAGTACCTTAACTCAATTCCGATTGGACCTACGCTTAAATTCATCTCGTGGATTGGCCATTATATGAGATAGCCCGATTTATGAGAATGAACATTCTATGGGTTAACCTATTCTACGAGTTGGACCACACCACGAATCAACCCTCCCCACGAGCTGAGTTATTATTATTATTGGTCAATAACAACCGGTTTTGAAGAAGAAGGGTGAAAAGGTAATCGAGGAGGAGCCTGAAAGGCTTGTTGATAACTTTTAGGGGGAGATGAAGAAATAGATTTTTCATAAAGTAATTGAAATCGGTTCAGATTCTTGACATTTTCAACAAACTTTTATTCATCTTTTTTCGAGGGTTTTGATAAAGGTAGAGTGGTGATAGGATAGTTGAAATTGATAGCATATGAATATTTTAATGAGAGGATGATAGGATAAACACGAAATAAAGAGAATTTAGAGGTGAGGTTTTATTATCCAACCCTTTGAGCGATACTGAAACAATAATACGCATTCACTATTTTTTTTAAATATTATATATTCTCCCATCAAATATTTGATACATTTTCAAGAAGTAACCATTAACAAAGGAGTATACAATATTTTTCTAAAATCATGGATGCATTTCATTTCTTGTTATAACTCTTTGTCTCAGTTTCGTCTTTTATTAACTCTCTCCCATTTTATCTTATGTCTTTCTTTTTCTCATGTTCTACCATGGTCTTTTATTTTTTCTTTCGATCGATTATGAATTATTTTCTAAGACATTTCGAGAAGATGTGTTAACGTTGTTGGTCAAAGAACCAATGAGTTGAAAAGAAATGCTAAGAAAAGCTGGTGAAAGATTGCTGAAGCAGCAGAAGCAGAGTGTCCAGTTTAAGAGGGGATGTTGGTCAAAGGACGAAAGTGCAAAAGAGCCAAGTAACAGGAGGACAATGTATTACACCATATGTCTAACTTCTGTGATGCTTGTCAGCTAGGAAAGTTACATCAAAATAGTTTTCCCTTATCCCAATCTCATGCTACAAAACCTTTAGCTTTAGTTCATAGTGATGTGTAGGGTCCTGCCCCAATCACCTTAGTAGAAGGATTTAGGTATTATGTGCAATTCCTAGATGATTTTAATCGCTTTACATGGCTATTTCCCCTTAGAACAAAAGCTGAAGTTAAATCCACCTTTATCAAATTCCACCACCTTGCTGAGAGGGAGTTTGAAACCAAACTAAAGTGTCTCCAATCAGATCAAGGAGGAGAGTACAAAGCTTTACTTCCTTATCTGACTGAAAATGGTATTCAACCTAGGTACTCTTGTGCCTAAGTTCATCAACAAAATGGCCGTAGTGAGAGGAAACATAGGCACATTATTGAAACAGGACTTACCTTATTAGCTCATGCCTCTATGCCTTTAAAATACTGGTGGTTGGCATTTGAAACAACAGCCTTTCTCATTAACCGACTGCCCACTGCTGTCTTAAATAATAACACTCCATATTTCATGCTATTTCATAAATATCCTATGTATGAAAGTCTTAAAAGTTTTTGGCTGTTCTTGTTTCCCTTTTCTTAGGAATTTTCATAGTCACAAGTTTGATTTTCATTCATCAAAATGTGTATTTGTAGGGTATAGTTTACTTCACAAAGGTTATAAGTGTTTAAGGGCTGATGGAAAAAATTTTATTACTCCTAGTGTCAAATTTAATGAAAATGAATTTCCTTATTCTCAAGAGTATGCTAAATCCTCTGTTCAATCCAATCCTGACCCTTCAGCCAAATCCAACAATGCTTGTTCCAATAACAACTCACCACTGCCATATATAATCTTCCAACATACCCCCTCTTCAGCAGCTTCTGATCCCCAAGTAGTAACTGGTTCTCAGACTGTTCTTAACAATCCAGCAGCTGGTACTAATTCTATAGCAACAGGTAAATTCTTTTCAAACTTATCTAATTCATCATTACCTAGTACCTCTAAAATTGCTGATAATTCTAATCATAATTCTTTGATAAATACACATGAGGTCATGCCAGACAGATCAGAATCTTTCTCATCTCACTCAAAAAATCATAATCTGATATCTTCTTTACCTGTTATTTCCTCATCAAATAATTTGCCAAATTTTCATATTGAGGTTGATTTAGATTCTGCCACACGAACTTGTGATCCTGCATCTAGTTGTAAGCTTCCAGATTTAACTCCACTTTCCAAAACACACTCTGGAAGTTCTGATACAGATTTATAGACTGCTCAATCTCAGTCCATCTCACCTTGTTCATCATTCAATACTCTACCACATTGTCAACTTAAGGTTGATCTTACTACTTCACAGTTTCAACCTCCTATTCCACTGAATTCTCACCGTATGATCACAAGATCCAAAGCTGCTGCTGGTCATGACAATGTACCCTATGATTTGTTGGATCCTGCTGTTTATCTTACAACCAGTCAGTCACCTATAGAATCAGAACCTGTGACAGTTGCTGAAGCATTAAAATCTGTAGTTTGGAAAGAGGCTATGCAGGCAGAATTTAATGCTTTAATTAGGAACAACACCTGGACCCTTATTGCTCCTACTACAGACATGAATATTGTGGGTAACAAATGGGTTTTCAGAACAAAATTGAATGCTGATGGTACTCTACAGAAGTATAAAGCCAGACTAGTGGCTAAGGGGTTTCAACAAACTCCTGGATTGGACTATTTCGAAACATTTAGTCCAGTTATAAAACCATCTACCATCCGAATAGTTCTCACTCTTGCAGTAACCAATGCTTGGGATGTTCAACAAATTGATGTGAACAATGCATTCCTTAATGGCACATTGAGTGAGTTAGTGTTTATGCAGCAACCAAGTGGTTTTGAATCAGCTGCTCATCCTTCTCATGTGTGTAAGCTGAACAAGGCTTTATATGGTCTTAAACAGGCCCCTAGGGCCTGGTTTGATAAACTCAAGGCTGCCCTTCAAGACAAGGGTTTTCAAAACTCAATTTCAGATTCTAGTCTATTTGTTCTTAAAAAATCATCAGGACTAATCTATGTTCTTGTTTATGTAGATGATATTTTAATAACTGGTTCTGATGCAGCCTACATTACTCAGTTGTTGAGAGAGTTAAATGAGCAATTTGCTTTGAAAACTCTAGGATCACTCAAGTATTTTTTAGGTCTGGAAGCAGTCAGGACAGGTGTTGGTATACATCTCAGGCAGTCCAAATATGCCTCAGATTTGCTTGTTAAAACTCGAATGATGGATGCCCACTCATGCTCTACACCAATGGCTATTGGTACTAGACTGAGGAGTGATGATAGTGATCTGTTTGACAACCCTACTTTATATCGCAGCACAATTGGAGCTTTGCAGTATCTCACATTGACAAGACCAGATATTAGCTTCACTGTTAATCGTCTTAGTCAGTTTCTACAAGCTCCAACTGAGTTACAATGGCAAGCATGTAAACGTGTTCTGCGATATGTTAAGGAACACTGCACTATGGGCTTCAGTTTAAACCAGCAAGCTCCCTGAATATTGAATGCTATACTGATGCGGATTGGGGTAGCAATGTTGAAGATAGAAGGTCTACTAGTGGATATTGTGTTTATCTTGGACCTAATCTAATTTAGTGGAGCTCCAGGAAGCAAAAAGTTGTTGCATTATCATCCACTGAAGCTGAATACAGGGCCTTAGCACAAACTGCCACAGAAGTTGCATGGCTTCATAGTATGTTCACTGAACTCAGTCTTCAAGTGCCCTCAAAACCTGTAATTTGGTGTGACAATACAAGTGTCGGAGCCTTAGCTTCAAATCCTGTCTTCCATGCCCGA